AGAGAGAGAGAGAGAGAGAGAGAGAGAGAGAGAGAGAGAGAGAGAGAGAGCAGGAGAATTAAAATAAATCTAATATTAATTTAATGATACATTTATTGACTAACATGATAATTTATGACAAAGTTACGTGTACATTTGTGAAAAGGTACTTGACTTTATACGTAAGAACACAGTACATATACAATATATACGTACATATACACAGCACACACACAATATAGATATATATATATATTGTATATGCATTATGTTCCTATGTATATTATATAAAGTGAAGTCTGACAGGAGCATTAAAATAATTTGATTTCCTTAGACTGATCGACGCTATGTTAAGATGGTTAGCTCCTTTACAATAAAATACAGCCACCTGAAAACGGAGAAACTAAGAATTAAATGTGAATATGTTACAGTGGGGAAAACAATGGGAATTAAAATGTACTCGCTACCTTTACGCACGGATGTACACACACGTAACTTTATCTATGTAATAAATTATCATGTCAGTCAATAAACATAATGACGTTGAATGTGTCATTAAATCGCAATGCTCGACTTATTTTTTATTCACGACAATCCGTTCTCCAACAGATTTAATCATCTTATTTCTCTCATTCTCCAGCTTGTAATATACAAAGAAAAATATATTTACACACACACACACACACACACACACACACACACATATATATATATATATATATATATTTATATTTATATTGAGGAAGTATATAATTCACGTTTTTCAGGGCATACGATTCCTTACTACGAATGCAAATAGTAGTCTCACGGCTGACATGACGTAAAAATGAATATCATTCATTACGCTGCTAATCACAGGTGAGAGACTCGCACAACCTTCGACACTACGAGTACTTCGCCGAACGTAACGAATCGTTTAATTTCAAAGTGGTATTTTTACGTCACATCTTGCGAAAGACAAAAATAGTACGAAACAAAATTGGAAAATTAACGTGACGCGAGATAGAATCGTGCGGAATAGAGCTTTAACAAACCACGGAAACTCGCGTCAAGCCACACTTTGCAGATGTACAGTCGATGTTCGAATTTCGTACATGTTGAATTTTCCGAACGCGACCTTACACGCGACATCACGGGTATCGTCCGCGATTTTTTCTCTTCAAAAATAAGTAAAGCTGTAAAATGTCTTCAAGGTCGCACACCATGGCTGTCGAAAAGCTCGTTTATCCTGCGGCGGAACGCAATAAGAATCCGATACTGTCGGTGCTGAAACGCTACATCCAGCCTGGCGCCGATCAGACACTCCTGGAGATATCCTCCGGCTCGGGGCAACACGTGGCGCATTTCGCGCCGCACTTCCCGCAGGTCACATTTTACCCGTCCGAGTACGACCCGTATCTGCTTGGGAGCATTGCTGCGCACGCGAACGGATACTCGAACATAAGGAAACCCGTGCTGATCGACGTCACTACGGACTTCCGGCTGTGGGACAACGGCACCTTCAAGCCGAATAGTTTGGAATACATATACAACGCGAACATGATGCACATCTCGCCGTATCAATGCACCATCGGCCTATTTAAGAACGCCGGTCAATTGTTGAAGCGTCACGGACTGTTGATTACATACGGGCCGTACGCCTGCGACAGTGTGATCTACCCGGAGAGCAATGTGAAATTTCACAATTCCCTGAGATCGCAGAATCCCAGCTGGGGTTTGCGCGATATAAGCGATCTGAAGCGGTTGGCCGAGAAAAGCGATATCAAACTGACGGAGGTCGTGGATATGCCCGCTAATAACAAGACGATTGTTTGGAGAAAAGATGGAAGAGCTGACAGAACAGGCGAGCACGTGTCTCCGATTGGCAGAACAGCTGGTGAAACTGCCAAGACTTAGGTTACACGCGCGAACGATGTTGTTATCGTTAAGTTTACGTGTAGACTGCTTTTTATGCAGAACCGAAGGTATCGAAGTGACGTTTCTAACTGCGCGAATAGTCGCAGCTGGACATGCTTCGTAGTATTTCTCTAGCTTACTACACGTGTATTCTATACTATATATTTAAAAACATCACTCCTATACGATTTACATTACAATTTATTATTAATATAATTGCTTCAAGTCTTAGTCCTTGAGATCTGTTCTTAAATGAGACTCATAAAGCAGAATGTATTTTATCGCGCGACGACGCAACATCGCGTAATTCATCTTGGTGATCGAGCAACCAGGCGATTATTGTTACACAAGTAGAAATGCAAGTGGATCGATCGCACCTATATCTTCACATCGAGTTGTTCCCATCGTCCCCGAAAAAATCCAGGTCTTCTAGTCCCTCTGGCAAGTAATTCAATCCGGAATCCTCCCGATGCTTCATGTTGTACCCCTTACCGTATCCTGAAAAGGAATAACTCGGCTTACCTCGTCGCCTAATCTAGAAGAGAATAAGAAAGAGAAGGAGAAATGTAGATAAAATATCCACCAAGATCTTTCATGAGCCTCGTGGGGGCGTTTCTCAAGTGGAAGGGCACCCCCGGTTGCGGACCCTTGTGCTCGGCTACCGCTCGTTGCGCGGCCCTAAGCGCGTCCTCCATCAGTCTGGACTTCGGGGCTCTCGCCAGATACGTCGTGCATTGCGCCAGAAGCACGTCGCATTCGGGCATACCGATCATCTTGCAGCCGTGCATCGTGTGCGTCGCGATTCCTGCAAACAGTCTCGTTCACATCACACACGCATCGTTCGAACAAGTTTCATACGTATGTAAAAATCAATGCACAAGCGCTCATCAATAATTTATACGTCCTATGTAAATCCGTCGCGTACACATCATATTACACATCCTTAGTATTAAGATATACTTCATGATCAAACTGTTAAAAAGGGTACTAGAAGAAACAAATAAACTACTACTTTATACAGTTACAATTCTTACAATACGATAAAAATCAACAAGTTGCTAACCCAGAGCCTTCGGGTCGGCCAAGCCGACATCCTCACTAGCCATCCTCAGCAATCTGCGCGCGATATACACCGGATCCTCGCCGCCGGCAATCATCCTGGTCAGCCAGTACATCGAGGCGTTCTCGTCGCTGGCTCTGACCGACTTGTGCAATGCGGAGATCATGTCGTAGTGCTGGTCGCCCTTCTTGTCGTACAGCATGTGAGTTTTCTTCAGATTCTCCTCGACGTCGCTCAGCGTTATCACCGGGACAGCCGGCGAATCGTCCTCTTCGTACTTCGGTACTTTGGACTGCACCGCCATTTCCAGGCCTCCCAACGCTATGCGAGCGTCACCGTCGCAAGTGCCGGCCAGCCATTCAATCGTCGGCTCGTCCACGATGAATCTCGTGTCGCAGGATGGCTCTCCCTCGACTCTGCTTCCCTCCGCCGACGTGCTGCCCTCCTCCTCGTCTCCCTCGTTCTTCCGCGACAGGAGAACCACGCCGTTCAGCGAGAGCACCGCGCGCCTCAGGATTGACACCAGATTCGCGATGGACAATTTGTGCAAAACGACCACCCTACACCGGCTCAGTAACGCGGAGTTCAGGCTGAACGAGGGGTTTTCCGTCGTGGCGCCGATCAGAGTGATGACGCCCGACTCGACGTGCGGCAGGAACACGTCCTGCTGCGTCTTGTTGAACCTATGTATCTCGTCCATGAACACTATCGTGCGCTGCCCGTACTTGGAGTGATTACCGGCGATGCCGATGACTTCCTTCACTTCTTGGACGCCGGCCATCGCAGCGGACAGTTTAACGTAGCGCAGCTTATGGCCGACATCGTTCTTGCATCTGTGCGCAATAACATTAGCTAAGGACGTCTGAAAAAGAAAAAAGGTAAGTGAATAAAATATACGTGTGTATTTTTGAATATAGAGATTAGGGAGATTAGGATTAGAAGTAGGAATTCTGTGTAATATAAATACTTTGCCGCAACCAGGTGGACCCCAAAGAATCATGTTGGGTATCTCCCCCTTTTGCAAGAGCTCTGACAGCATAGTGCGAGGCCCGAGGATATGTTTCTGGCCGACGAAGCTCAAAAGCGATGTGGGCCTCATCTGTTCTGCGAGAGGTATACATTCGCTCCCACGTAATTTCTTATTCTCATTGTGCGTCTGTGAACAAATACTTATCAGTATCTTATAAAATATGACAAAACAATTATATAATATACAAGAGAGAATGGAGATATTTTGCTTGAAATACTCTGTCAACTGACCTCATTTCATTGATATACACGGTTTTCATTTTAATTCAGTAAATTTCATATCTAATATTTCAACATTTCTATTATTTTTCAGAATTATGCTTTAATTTTCACTATGTTTCACAGCATCACATTGAATCTCACGATGAAAATTGATTTATTCTGAAATATTATTATATATTTCAGAATTACTTTCATCTCACTGTTCATCAAATCCATAGTATATTAATATTCGAATATAAGGAAAGTTAAAGTATACCGTTGAAATTTACTGAACTTCGTTGAAAACTGCGTACATTGACAGAATGATAATGAAACGAGGTCAATTGAGAGGGAATTTCAGTAAGATTTTCAGCGTAATATTTACATCAGTGTTATTATTCAATTCTACTGATCAATAAAACAAACAGTTACACCTAAGCAAAGTATACAATATACACTTATATTTAATTCTACCAATAAGAAAAAAACATAAACAGTTACACTCTTCGGCGACACAACATCTCTAACATCCTTAACGTCCTCCACGTCCCTCTGGATACCCTGAGAGGAGAAATGCTCCAGAGAATTCTTCCTCTTCCCAACCACCAAATTGCTCTTCCTCGCGCTCGCTGCTTTTAATTTGCTCTTCTTAGCGACTGGACTCGAGTCCTTCAGCAAGACCGTGCTCTCGTCTGCCGCGGACTCGTGCAGGAACAAGCATTTGTTGGTGTGGGACTCGATGACGGAGAAAGCGAACTCCTTGCCGCATATCGGACACGACTCCTTCTTGTCACCGTCCATCTCGTTTCCAATCGGTAATTCGCACACACGCACGACGTACGATACCGAATCTCTTTTCCTCACTCGAACGTCATTGGCAGCCGAAGGGATTATCGAGAGAACGTCGGACGCGATTTGAAAAAAATAACCGACGACGAAGAACGAAACAGTCGAGGAAGCGACACGGCGCGCGCGGACTTCGGACTGCGCAACAAGTGTATCTCGACTCGGCAGGATCGCGCGCGCAGATGCGCGCTGCCAGCCGCGAGGACACTGACGGGGAGAGAGAGATAGAGAGAGAGAGAGACTCGGGGGTACCGTTATATCAAACTCGGCGTGCTAACCTCCTAAGCGGCGGCCGCCGTTCTCTCGTTCGAGAGCGCGATTCAGCCACGCGCGCGTAACCTTTGGCCCTCCGCATCTGACGAATCGCGCCGCGCGATTTTTAATCATCGAGCAGTCCCCGACAGAGTGAGATCGGCTGGCGGCAGTCGCTCAGGAGAGAACGTCCCGCGTGGTCTCCGAGGATTTCCGCGAGCGGGACGCGCGCCGCCGCGTGTCGAACGGCCGGAACGACGAGAGCGGACGCGCTGACGTGGGACACTTGCATTGAAAGATCGCACGCGGGTTTCCTCCCTTTGAAGTTCAAAGGGAACACGCCGCCGAGGGTGTCGCGAAAAACGCGCGGGGAGAGACGGACGAGCGAGGAATCGCGTCGGAACGCGCAGCCGACGGAGCGTCATCTTGTTCGCCCAGTGTTCGGCGCAAACCGACGAAATCAGGGCTGCACTGCGTGTCCTTAGGGATAGATTTCTCGTCCTCGCACGGCGACGGAATGGAAACGCGCCGCAGACGAGCCAGGCCGCAGGCTGACGGCAAGCTTAATGCAGAATGCGACGCCGACGCGGATCGGTCAAGGATCATTCCACGGGACGAGGTATATATAAATCGTGGGCGTCGTTCGCGTCGTCTCCGGGGACTCGGAAGTGCGGGTAACTCGCGGGCGAAAGAGGGATTTTTTCGCGTCGCTGAAAATGGAAGAGAGCTGCCGAAACGTCCGACGTTCGTGCGCACACTTTTCCCACGAGATTCACACGGTTGTTGTGCGAACATTTGTGCGCCTGAGACTGTGCGCTGCGGGTCTCGCTCGATCCTTCGCTTCGCGCTGTAATTTCACGTCGAGCGATCCCTTTCTCTCGTTTGCGTCCCGTTTGCAGGAGAGAAAATTATGCAGCGGCAGCTTCGTCAGCACTTTTGAACCGGTCGAAATTAGAAGCGACGCACCCGCGAATTTTTAAATTTTCGAATTCGACGCAGCAACATCTGGTTAAACTCCGCGAGCGCGGGTAGATAACGGCGTCTTTCGGCCGACTTCAGGTCGTTTTCGCTGTTTTTTTTCTTTTTTTATTTTGGCATACTATACTAAAAAGATATTTAGTGGAATAAATCTGTATCTTTCTGAAATGTGTGTGCGCACGTGAGGTTTCCTGTTTTATTTGTACAAAGGGAAAATTAATCCTCTCGGATCTATCCAAGACGAAGTCGACAAAATGCGGCATTTCTATGTCGCATAAGACATATGTAGAAAATTGTGTCCTAGTTAATTTCATCTAAACTGGCAAGGTCATACCTCTCGAAAAAAATTCGCGTATCTTATCGATTTTTTTCTTTTTTAGATAATCTACTCCAAAATCAATTATCTGATTTGACCGTGACATACATTTTGCTATGTTAATTTTTGTAAACAGTATATCAAAATATATAAAATACTTCTTATAATATTAATTTTATCACAGGGGGACGGAGAAGCTGCTTCGGACACCTCGATAGAAAGTAACAAAGCAAATCAGCCGAATTCCATCGAGCCGAAGAAGCTTTTAACGAAAGATGCAATTCGTGCTCGGATCAGGATCAGTCTGGAGATCGATTTGATAGCGGCGGTTTTATTAATCACAGGCATTTTCACTCGCCTTTATCGTCTGGAGGAGCCACGCAGTATAGTGTAAGTATATGCGCAATTTTGTTCGATATAACGCACATCCTACTGATAAAAAATATAAGGCGGTGGTCCATAAATTAATTAACACTTGGTAGGTGATATAAAGATATTACAAAGATATCACTGCCGATGTACGTTGCGATTTTATTATCTTCCGTAAAAAGTAATTATATAATTCGTTCGTTAATTTATTGTGATTGTATTGAACGTTTATATAACGATAAACTATATGATTAATATAAGTACTCAATTATTTAAATAATTATACTATTCCTATCAGGATATCCTACCGATAAAAAATATAAGGCCGTGATCCAATTGATTAACGCTTGATAGGTGATATGAAGATATTACAAAGATATCAGTGCCAATGTATATCGTGATTTTATTATCTTCCGTAAAAAGTAATTATGCAATTCGTTCGTTAATTTATCGTGATGCGATTACATTGAACGTTTATATAACGATAAACTATATGATTAATATAAGTACTCAATTATTTAAATAATTATACTATTTCTATCAGAATGTCCGATAATTTTTGTATATAAATAGAACTGGCTGAACAGGAAAGTTCTCTACTTCTTTGCAATTACGCAAAATTTCGAATTATTAATTAAAGAAACCTCCATACATGGCCATTTTTAATAATTAATGTAAATAAACTAATATAAATTCAATAATATAAATAAAATAACATAAATTAACCCTTAAATGCATAGTGTTGCAAATTTGCAACATATTTTTCCTCTTTGTCGAGATCAAAGGCACACCTAAACGTGGAAGACCAAATTCTTCCTTAGAACGAAATATACAATCCAAAAGGCACAAAGGCAATGCTCAACATATGCCTCAGATTTTTTTTAATATTTTTCTCATTTTCTGGGATTATCTATGAATCTAAAAAAAAATAATTCAGTAATAAAAAAAATTCATGCATTTAAGGGTTAATATAATAATATAATATAAATTAACTCGGAATTTTGCGTGCAAAATGGTAGAAGACTTTTCGCTTGATTTAACCTGTTCTACCTGTATACACAAGCGGTGTTCTAAAAATGACCGGATATCCTGTATATATGATTATATAATTATTGTATAATTTTATTATATATGATTAATATAATTATATATGATTACTATCGGTAAAAATTTATAATTAACCCTAATCATGTACTCATGGATCAAATTGACCCAAGCACAAAATTAAGATTCTATAGTCGTTAAATCTTGTATCGTTGCACACGTCTATTATTCGTCGATTCATCGTGAATGAACCGCTTACAGCTTCGACGAGCTACATTACGGCAGGTACGTCGGATTGTACATGAAAAGGACCTTCTTCTTCGACTCCCACCCGCCGCTAGGGAAACAACTGGTTTCCGCGGCGGCGTACCTCGCGGGCTTCGACGGGCAATTCAAGTTCGACAGGATCGGCAGTCCTTACGACGAGGCGGTCCCTTTGTACGCGTTGCGCCTGATACCGGCGATATGCGGCAGTCTGTTGATCCCCACGGGATATCACCTCGTTCTGGAACTGGGCCTGAGACAATGGGCGGCGGCGATCGGCGGGATCTTACTGTTACTTGGTAATTTCCTCTCTCGGATTAGAAAGTGCATTGCACAAGTGCATCGAACAAGAGTTCGAGCTACTGTAACATACCGTCCTCATCATCTTTTAATTAGAAGCATAACGTCAATACGAGATACGAGAAACGTAGAAACGCGAAGGTGGGTGTACGCTGAGCGAACGAGCAACGAACGAACGGCAAATGTGTGGTACATTCGCGTCTAAACGCGCACGAATTCTCCTTGGTGAAGCATCTTGTCGAGCGAATCAGCCCGAAACTATTCGGCTGCGTTATGGCGTCTGATTTTCCAGCTTCCCGTGCGTTCATCAGCTCATACAGAACAATTAATTTCTCATTAACTATTGCGAATTTTACAAAATGGTACATAACTTTCCTATTCAGTTTGACCTGTTCTACCTGCATACGAGCGCTCAGTTTAAACTTTCTGGAGACTCTACGTACATATGCTACCTCGGATCCACCAAGCAACGAATATTTCCTCCCACCCCTGAAGCTTTACTCCTGCGCGTCCGCTACTTTGCGCTCCGTCCGTGAGATATTCTCACGTCCATGATCCTGAAGATGATTAGTTGTTTGTTATTTTAGAAATAAGCCGAGTCGTTGCTTCGTGACAATCTCGTCCACGCGACCCTGTAACGCACGTATTGTGTTTCACTGATCACACATATTGCCATTTTAGACAACGCATTGTTGACACAGTCGAGGTTCGTCCTGATGGAAAGTATCTTAATGGAATTCTCGCTGCTTGGTTTGCTGTGTATCTTGAAGTTTCGCAAAGTCATGGACCGGCCGACGTCCGCGTCCTGGTGGATATGGTTGACGTTGGGCGTTATGAATTTAACGTGCGCGCTGTGGTATGAACCCGATCCTCTTCTTCGTCGACTCTCTCGTCTCGGCTTAAATCCCCGTTCGTCCGATGACCGCAGTTTCTCTTTGCAGCGTCAAGTACGTCGGATTTTACTCCATGGTCCTCGCGATCTTCCTGATCGTCCGCGACTACTGGTCCCTGCTGCCGAGGAAGTCGCTGTCGGACACGATCCTGTGGGGTCACCTGCTGCTAAGGCTCGCCGTGCTGATCATCGTTACGTTCACCGTGTACCTGAGCATATTCTACGTGCACCTGGCGATACTCTCCAAGGCGGGGCCGCACGACTCGGTGATGACCAGCGCGTTTCAAGCGAGTCTGGAGGGAGGACTCGCCAGTATCACGAAGGGCCAGCCTCTGGAGGTGACGCACGGCTCGCAGATCACCCTCAGACACACGTACGGCAGGGCGTGCTGGCTGCACAGCCACGGCCACATGTACCCGCTGCGCTATCCCGACGGCCGTGGCAGTTCCCATCAGCAGCAGGTCACGTGTTACTCATTCAAGGACGTCAACAACTGGTGGATCGTCAAGAAGCCGGACCGGGACGATCTTGTGGTGACGAAACCGAGCGAGCCGATCCGCCACGGTGACGTGATACAGCTGGTGCACGGGATCACGAGTAGGGCGCTCAACTCCCACGACGTGGCGGCGCCGATGACGCCGCAGAGTCAGGAGGTGTCCTGCTACATCGACTACAACGTGTCGATGCCGGCGCAGAACCTCTGGCGCGTGGAGGTCGTGAACCGGGAGCAGTCCGGCGACGCGTGGCACGCCATTCAGAGCCAGGTCAGGCTGATACATATGCACACGAACGCGGAGTTCGCGCTCAAGTTCAGCGGCAGGCAACTGCCCGACTGGGGCTTCAACCAGCACGAGGTGGTCGCGGACCGCCTGGCGGATCAGACCAACTCCATCTGGAATGTCGAGGAGCACCGATACACCAAGAGCGAGGATCAAAAGCAGCGCGAGCGCGAGCTGATCAGCGCGGAGATGATACCGTTGCAGGTAACCGCGCTGAGCTTCTGGGAAAAGTTCGCGGAGCTGCAGGTCAAGATGCTGTTCAGCGGCCAGGAAGGCCAGAACAGCCACATGTACTCGAGCGGGCCCCTCGAGTGGCCGCTCATGTCCAGAGGAATCGCATATTGGGTGTCCAACGACAGCAATGTGAGTCGACCGATCGACAAGTCGTTTAAAGTACCGCCCTTATTTTGTAACGTTTGACGACAGTGTCATTATGCAGGTGTAACGTATGGCAAAAAAGCTGATAGGAATGGATGAGATATAAGAACAATGATAGAACCAAGGAGGAAAAGAGTGAACATAGAGGAGGGGATAACAAATAGGAAAAGGGATACATGCAGAAACAATGGAAGGATAGATTTCTGTTGCGAGGTACAGTCAGAAGAATGTCAGAATAAGAGGATAACTTGAAAAATTAGATAGTGATAAGGACGAAAAATAGAAAAGAATATGGGATACAAGTTAGATACAATTAAAGGGAATATATTAATTTAGAGAGAGAAAAGGAGTCGAAGAAGAGGAAAGAGCTAATGATATAGATGAGGATAAAAGAGTTGTAAGGAGAAATGATAAATTGTTCGGGAGATTGGTGCAAAAATTATATGGTAGAAAATAAACAAGGGTAAGCAAGGATAAGTGATTAGATGTAAAAGCCTGTGATAGATAAAATAGAAATAATGAGAGAAATATTGTTTGTGTGATATTTAGGTGTTAGATTCTGGAACTAGTCAAATGGTTATAAAGTGTGGATGAATGAATATGGTTAAGATAAAGTTGTAAATCATATCTCTTCTTGGCATTTAAGCTGGCGTAGATATATACATGGCAGAGAAGCTGTGCAACGATGACGAAAATTGTCGTTAAAAGTTACAAAATATACTATATCATATAGTTACAAGTTCGTCGAATATGAAATAACGTTTATATTTAGACTGAGCTGATCGCATTCACATTCGTTCATTTTAATATCGTTTTCAGGCACAAGTGCATCTTTTAGGAAACATCGTGATTTGGTACTCAGGCACAACCTCGGTGATTGCATATTCCGCGCTACTGCTGTTTTATCTGATGAGGAGAAGACGAAAGTGCTACGACATCGCCGAGGAGGAGTGGGAAAAGTTCGTTAACAACGCTTATGTACTCTTAGCCGGATACTTTCTTCACTTCTTGCCATTTCTGTTCGTCGAGCGAACTTTGTTTCTGCATCATTATCTGCCGGCTTTCGTTTTCAAAGTTTTACTAACGGCCGCCATGATCGACCACCTGTATTACTTGACTGGGTACGTCTCCGGGTTACAGTAAACACGCCAGCCTCGATTCAGTGGAAAGTGAGCACAATATAATTTGTCGCTTTCTATTTCAGCGCTCATCGTCCGTGGAGTGGCATCTCGTACACCCTGAGATGCGGCACCTTCGCCTGGGTGCTGTTTGTCATCTACGTGTTCAAGAAATACGCGGTGCTCAGCTATGGGACGTCGGCTCTCAGCGCCAAAGATGTGATAAAACTGAGATGGAAAGATACCTGGGATTTTATTGTACATAAAGCATGAAAGTTCGCCTTACTCCGAGGTGAAACTCGAAAACTCGTTTTTCATAAAGAACAGAAGGAAAATATTTTTAATATAAATATCGTGTATCGCAAACGCGAATGGGATTTACGAATCAACGTGATTTTATAAAGAAATCTAACGAATGTTATTGCGTCTAATGTAGAGAGATATGTTTTTTTATACGAAGCATATTAAGTGCCACAAATAGAGAGTAAATAACATAGCGATAATCACTTGATATCGTGAAAAGTTAAACGTTAATATTTGTATAGACTGACTCTATTTTATAAAATCGTGCATTTATTTAAACTTTGAGCTGTGGAAGTGGCAAATATACTTAGGAAAGAGTACGTTATACATGGCAACTAATGATTTAATGTATATTTTTTGAGATCTTTGTTTAATATCTCTGGCTGGTTAAGATGTATATATTGTAGAGTTTATGCCTATATATATATATATATATATAATTATTTTACACGAATATCATATTTTTCTCGGGCAAAAAGTGATATTATAGGGAAAAAAAATCAAAATATGACAGAACACATGTGCAATATGAGATTTAATAAAGGCATTTAAAACCGTAAAATTCAGGTTCTCTTTTTTTTTTGTACAATAGAAGTCGGTAATCCAGCTAACAAAAAGTAATTTGTACAGAATAAACTCTCTCTCATATAATGAGCAGAACCAATAAGTATATTTGTACAGTCTTTTGGATCTTTCGTTAAACTTCTTATATAGCGAAAGAACAAACGCGATTTGGAGGGTGAAGTAACAATAATACAAGAGATATACAAGAAAGAGCACACTCTTATCACAAATTCAAAATATCGTGTGATTATCTCGACGTTGCATTAATGATACGTAAAAACTATCGATCGAATGAGACCCTCGCGGATCGTGTGTGCGCTGTTACCAACTCCGAACGAGAAGAACACAGAATCACAGGCCATGTTTTGGGTGCAGATTCCTACCGGATACCAGCCGACCTTATTAAATACCACGCCGACTCGATAAACCTGTTTAACAGAGCAACATTTGCGTCTCAAGCGATCGTGTTTATAACTGTGCGATCAATCGAGCATTCAAAAACGAGAAGTAGACGGCGAAAGTTTCATACGTGGTCTCTGATATCTTAGGCTTTCGCGACGCGGAGAAGTACTTGATTTGATTTCGCGAGTTAGAGCCGCGGCCTTCATAGATTTGCTTTCGACGTTTCAGGTCGTTCCTCACCCTGAAAATGCGAACTGAAATGTTCACACGAACACGTCGGGAACAAATTCACGAAGGACTCAAAAGCCAAATCAAGTATTTCAAACGTTCCGTTACAAAAGAGTTTGATAGATGGTTTTTGACCTATAAACGGAATTGAGTGAAAAAAGGTATCAAATGATACCGAGAGGAGTTCAAATATAGCGAATCATGCCGATCTGAAGCTACTAGTCTGAGATATCGGCATCAGAAGCTGTGCATTGGTTAATTATTTTAGTGAAAAATCAGCTACATTCACACTCCTACGTTGGGGAACTCGTTGGTGGTGTTTCCTACTTTAATCTTTCTAAAATAATATCAGCTAAAACGGGTTAAATCATACTATGCCGAACATAGCCGATCCAAGTGTGCCAGCACATTGGACTAATCTATCTCTAATCTCTCGTAACATATCAGCTGAAGAAAATCCTCTGCTTATCTGCGGGTGGATACAATCTCGGCACGAAGTCGTACTTTGTCCATGTTTCAGTAAACAAAATACTCAGGATCGAGTCCAACAGTAGAGTACTGCTGTTAATGCAAGAACAGCCTTGGAACTATCGGATGTTATACACATGTAATGACAAATCTATTACATTTCTTATATTTTGCAATCAGGAGTCTGCAACCTTCAAAATGATGTGTCTCATCAAGATCCGTTTATAGACCAAAAATGAACTAACCGATGGAATCAATCGTACAGGAAATGGCGACAAACCTTGTGCTTCTGGATGTAAACCGGTCGGTTGAAAGTAATCTCCACGAGAGTGCCGAAGTTCGCTTTGGTGGTGAAATGCGTGTACGTCAGGCGCGTGCCGTCGCAGTCCAGCAAGTGGGCGTACAGGATCTCGGTGTACGACGTGTCGGGATCCGGAGCGTGACCCCCCAAATTATTCGACTGCAATGAGAGAAGTGAGTCAGGTGGTACATTGGCAACGGTCTGAACGGTTATAATAAACGACGTATGATCCATATCATCATCATGCGTCGTCGTCGTAGCTCACCATCGCCGCGGCGATTTGCGTGGGAACCTGCACACCAGTCACGCAAATATTTTTATCCACGCTGAACGTGACAGAGCAATCGAGCACATTCGTATTCAGGCAATCCGTCTGCTGCAATATCGATCTGAGGCAGTAATATTTCGTGCCCTCGCGTATGACTCCCTCGATATTCCCGGAGGTGGAACTGCTGACAGGCAGATTCCCGGAGTCCTTGTGCACGTCCACGTCCATCAGCGACGGCGAGGAGCTGCGCACCGTGCTGCTGGGCTCGCCTGTGTACGGGAAGCCGTATTGCCGGGACATACTCCAATTGAAGTAAATGTTATCGCCGATTGATCGCTCCAAGCCGAACGGTCGTTTCCTTTCCGACCCGATTTTCTGGAAGAGCAGATGAATTCAATCAGATACATATGACGATAGTACTAATTCCCTCTTTAAGCTGCGTCTACAATAGATGTAGCAAGCCTTTTTATCGTGACGTATATTTTATATTGTGACGTAATTTCTAGCCAAAAGCGTTTCTAACGCTATCGGACGTTGAAATTCCTAAGGTTTAATATTACAACTTTTGGCAACGCGAGGAACGACATTTTGTTACTTAGAGCAAAAAGCTAAAAGCTTACTATTTATTGGGTGCTTTCCATTTGGTGACACAAGTCGACACAAGCATCATCCTAACTTTGTTACTCATTGAATATGAAGGGAAGACGATGACGTCTGTGATGACTTGTGTCATTGAATGGAAAACAATCTTTGTAGATCCAGATTTAAGCTCGTATTCTGAACTCTCTTTCATCAATAAAAGTGCCTCTAAAGTGCCTAAAAGTGGCAACTTAGGAACCACTTGATTGGCTGAGAAGCCACATTTGAGACACTTTTATCGATAAGAGTTATTGTTTTGAGCACAGAGAAAAAGATTTCTTTAGATTTAATATTATTCCTTTACTTGAAATAAATTTGTCTTTTGGAGTAGAGCAAACAAATGAATATTTAATTCAATAAATATGATTTTTTAGTTTCTCAAACAATGTCTTTGCGTCAAATAACATATTTCTTTTGTATTTTTATCCAAACGTCGCAATGGTTGTCACGAGCAATAAATTATTTGAAAGAAGCAACACTACACGAGAAAAACATTAAAAAACTTCTTTCTGATGGGACAAAAAAATTAATATATAATGAAATAGATGTTTTTAATTAAAAATGAAATATTTTCCCTAAGTAATACCGTTTTTCTTTCTATCAAACAACATAGTTTACTCTAACATACTTGAAACATTTTCATTCAAACAAAATAATATTTGACATTAAATTACGTTGTTTATATGAAATAAATCCAGGTCAAACACGTGTACTAAACCCGAAGAAACCTTTCTCTAAGCAAAAGGCTTACCACACACCTATCATAGATCCGTACTTGGAGTATCTATGAAATCTGTGATACTTACAGATACACTCGTCATATTCGTAGGCTGGTCCTTCGGCGGTTTCGCTCTGCTGTTCGAATTGGTGCAGAAGCCTTCGGGCATGGGAGTCTTGTTGCCGGTGCACAGCAAATTCATCAGTATAGCGAAAGCCTCATCTTGCGTGAGCAGGAGAGACATCCCGGGCCCCTCTGCGAATTCCTGGGGTGTCAGACTCAGGAATCTGATTTTCGAGAGCGCGTCCCCGATGACGGACTTGAGCGACTTGCCGTTGGCCGTGTCGAGAGACTTCCTGGAGCACTCCGCTTTGGCCCATCGCTCCAGCGCGGTGAACAACTCGATCTCCGAGCTGATCTGCAGATTGTCCTGCTCCAATACTGTTACCAGTGTGTTGAGCTCCACGTCCTCCCAGGTGGACTCCTTCAACACCTCGTTAGTTTTTGTGCATATGATCTGCAAACATCTGTCCAACAGTACAGGCTCCTCGAAGAGCTTAGCGAACTCGTACGCTCTGCAGGCCTTCTTCGGCAGGAGATCGGACCACAGATACTGGGTGCACTCCTCCACCAAGCAGGGCAGCATGTATTTCTTGGCACAGTAGCACAGCTCGCAGGCAAGCTCGAAGGAGCCCAGCTCCACGCGATCCGTGTATATGTACTGCAGGAAGGCCTTGAACGCCTCGGGCTGAACATCCCTGATCGGTATCGGATCGCTCTTCTCCGCCATGCCGCCGTAGAACATGGCTTCGAAGACCGGGCTGGACATCGCCAGGAACAGCTTGTGGCCTTTGAGCGTCTGCTGATGCGGCTCCTGGCCGACGATGAAGTTGCAGTCCGACCATTGCCCGGTCTCCAGCAGGTACTGGCCGCGCTCCGAGAGCTTCTGCTTGTTGCTCTGCCAGTCGCATGGCAAGCCCATCTCCGTGCGGTATTTGCACGCGCGTTGTCGCGAACGTAAACACACCGCTTCCAGCTGCGACGTGGCGGCAAGTGACAACACGGACGGACGAGACACGGCGCGCACGGGCGTGCTCGTCGACCCGTCAACTCGCGCGGCCGAGCGTCGGGTATTACGCGGCCCGGCTGACGACGTACGTGGGTACTCTCGCCTATTTTTGCGCGATACCGCGTTTCCGCTATAAATACGCCTCGTGAGGCATAAACGCTGACCAAAAGAGACGAGTACCCGCGGGAGGGGTGGAGAAAAGGAGGAACGGCCGTCACGGGGTATCGGCGACGCGCGGGAAAACCGGCCGCCTACCCTTCGGTCGGACCGCCGTCGTGCGGGCCTTGTTCGGGTATACGCCTCAAGGAGAACGCGCGAGTGACTCGACGGTGATCCTCTTCCTCGTTGCGTCGTCGTTTCCTCTTCGTTGTTCTCTCTCTCTCGCTCGTGGTCGCGTGATTGCGAAATCGCTGGCGGACCGACTGTTGCCTGCACGTCGTCGACGCTCGCGGCAGTACGTTACGCCATCTTATATGTAGGCGCTCGCAACGAAGCCTCCCCTCCACTCCCTTTCGCCGCCCCCTCCACCGGCAATGCGTCTCGCGAGAGAGCGACGCTTTTCGAAGTGGCGTCGACGCGCTTGTTCGCTCGCTTCCTGTCCGGTGACGATTCTCTACGACGCTACGTGCTCTGTGCCCGTCACCCTCCTGCTCCCCCCACCTCCACGTCGGGCCCCTGACTGGCGGCAACGCGCGGCAGTCGCGCGAGGAGTCTACTCCGGCTGATTTCAGACCGTCCGCCGTGGCGATCGATAATCTTTCTCTCGGCGACGACGAGGGATCGAAGTGCCGCGGAAGTGTCGCGCAGTGTCGTGTCTCCGGCGTCGCGCCCGTCGGTCGCCAGGTGAGCGAGCGAGATGCGACGTCGCCGCGAGTGAACGAACGAACGGACGCGAGCGAGGGATTGGGTTTCTGTCGCGGCGCGCGTCACCGGAGGACTGGAGAGCACACGCGAGAGGACGAGACGGAGCGAGAGAGAGAGGGGAGATAGGAAGGGCGAGATAGCAGAGGAGGAAGAAAGAGAGTGAGGAAGAGAGGCGGATTCTCGCGGCGACGGCGGCGGCTTGCGGAGCCTTGCGGACGACCGTTGTGAATTCCCCCAATGGCGCACGCACGGCTCAGCTGTGTGCGGCCCGTACGCCCCGCGTAGTAATGCGCCTGCCAGGATCGCCGTCCGGGTGAGAGCCGTACACGCCAGTACCGGGACGTGGAGAGAGGTGAGTGCGCGTAATCGCGCTCGGCGCGCGGTTATCGCCGCCGCGCCGGGCCGCGCGATACGTGGAACATGGGTGTACACCGCTTTACCTTTTGGCAGCCTCGCTGACAGGCGTCCTCGCGAGTGCCGAGGATGGGTTGTTCGCCCGCAGTGTGTCATGAACGTCTTCCCCGTCGCGCGAGTCCCGCTCCCCGGGGAGCGTCGTCCGGGTGACGTTCACGACGTGTCGAGTCGCGAGACGTAACCTCGCTCGGGCGACTTCTCCGTCGTCGGTTGCCGAACGAAGGGGAGCGCGACGGAGATTCGCGTGACGTCGTGGGGTTTGTGGCGCAGGTTTGCGTTGTACGTCGACGGCTTCTCGCGAGGAGGAGACCCCACGACTCGTCCCTCGGGTCGCGGAGAGAGAGAAAGAGAGAGATGGAGAGACGTCCGTCGGCTCCCGAGGACAACGGCACGTAGTGGCGCATCGCTCTTTGTTACACGCGCGAATCACCGTCACCTTGTGAATTACGCAGCTGAGTCATTGTCCGTTGAACACACGCTCGCACGTGCCGTGCTCGCGCCTCCCCGCGGCCGACACTCCCGCAAAGCGGCGCATCCTTGTTGTCCTCCTCGCTTCTCTCTAACCGCGAACGCTCGCTCGAATTCGCCTCGGGATTATGTTTATGCGTGGATGCCCGCGTGCGCGACGCACACCCGAAGTATTATAAGTTACCGTTCCAAAATATCAGTATCAATCGCTGCAATTCCAAATTATTTGTCTGATCTTGGTGCCATGGTATTATTATCATAACATGTTTCGTGTTTCCTTCATACTTCTATGTATTATGTAAGAACTGGAAATATTGCCAGGCTACAAACACACACACATACACACACACGTCACCTGTTTCTATTTCTCTAACAAGATTTGCGAGGTACTTTCATGCCATTAATGTGCAAGGAAAATCTACAACGATGCATCTTATTTTTATCTTGTTTATATATAAGATTATATATATATATGCATGTATATACAGGATGAACCATGCGACGTGATCAGCTTAGTTTATTCTGCTGTTTGTGGACCAATTGAAAATTGTACATTTGTGTATAATTATATATTATAAATTTAACATAATTAACTTAGAGCTCGCCTTGAAGCATATTATACTAGACAAAAAAATTGTCAATTGATCCACTAGCAGCAGAATAAACTAAGCCGATCATGTTGCATGGTTCACCTTATATATATATGTAAGTGTATATGTATATATATGTATGATTTTTATCATCTTGTTTACACATAAGGTAGTACACACATATTTAGTTTTGTTTGTTGTCTGAAAGAACTGTTATTATATTTTGTAACGTTTGTTTATTACAGGAAACATGGAACGTCCATTAAATGTCATAGTTACACATTGCTCCATTCAATGCCACATTTAGCCCTGCGTTTGGATAGTTTTTAATGCAACAGAAGCAGTACATTGTCGTGGCACAGTAGGCCAAACTCCTGTCAGGAGAGATGGATGCGGTGCGGGATGAGGATAGGTGGAGACGCCTGCGGTCTCTGGAGGAGCGTATAAGGGATCCAAGAAGCGTCACAAATATCGACTGCTTGTTGGACACAGTTCAAGCCCTGGTATCGGATTGCGATCACGCGAGCGTGAAACGCATGAAAAACATAGAAGCTTATATGAATAGATGTAAGTGCTCAGTTTTTGTGCCATATTGTTGAGCGGTGTGTTGGATAACTCGCCCTCAGTCCACCTTCGGAAGATTGAGGATTTTGTTTCTGCTTGCAGATGACTCCGTAGCTCAAGAGATATGTAAAATGCGAATGCGCACGGATGATTTTACTCTGATAAAAGTAATCGGCCGTGGAGCGTTCGGTGAGGTGCAGTTGGTCAGACACAAATCCACGCAGAAAGTTTACGCAATGAAGTTACTTAGTAAATTTGAAATGGTGAGAGAGTGGTGGTCCCTCTTAATCTGCGCCTTTCTCCGCGCGTCGAATGCTAAACATTTATCTCTCTACATTGCGTTTCTCCTCGTGTATTGTCTGTTTAGATTAAAAGATCGGATTCCGCATTTTTCTGGGAGGAGAGGGACATAATGGCGCACGCCAATTCTCAGTGGATAGTACAGCTCCACTTCGCGTTCCAAGATCAGAAGTATCTCTACATGGTGATGGATTACATGCCGGGCGGAGATCTCGTGAACCTGATGTCGAACTATGACGTGCCGGAAAAATGGGCGAAATTTTACTGCGCCGAGGTGGTACTCGCACTGGATGCTATACACCTGATGGGTTTCGTTCACAGGGACGTGAAGCCGGACAATATGTTGCTCGACAAGCACGGCCACCTGAAGCTCGCCGATTTCGGCACGTGTATGAGGATGGATGTTGTAAGTTTCATTTGTCCTTAAGATTATCGTATTTGCAATTGAACCCGCCTTTAAACGTCTACAATGGGCAGTAGGAGTATGTTTAGTAAGAAGTAAAAGTAAGAAATTAGCCAATCATTGTCGATTAGTCTCCTTACGTTCGAATATGATTGGCCAATTTCTTATCCTTACTTCTGTAGACTACGCTTCAACCTTTTGTTCTAAACGCTAAATTGCAACGTAATTTCCAGCAAAAAGCGCTTCCAGATGTCGAAATTCCTAAGATTTAAGTTGAGTTGTTGGCAGTCGTAAAATCGCAGTCATTCAAGTCGGTCCAGTTCCAGCGACCGAATTGGTCGTAGTTGCTGGGATTGAATCGACTCGACTGCGACTATACGACTCTACAACCGTATTGTAGACCCAACTTAGGACGTTCTCTTTAAGCGTTTAAGCTTTAAGTATTATTACAACTTTCGACAGCGTGGGGAATGCCTTTTAAAAATAAGATTTCATTGCTCAAAGCAAAAGGCTTATTTATTTTTGATCCTGGTTGAAGCTCTCCGATTTGTAACGCTAACCCATTTGTTCGCAGGACGGCTTGGTCCGATCTGACACCGCGGTCGGTACACCCGATTATATATCCCCGGAAGTTTTACAGTCGCAAGGCGGCGAGGGCGTGTACGGTCGTGAGTGCGACTGGTGGTCTGTGGGTGTCTTTCTGTACGAAATGCTGGTCGGCGACACACCGTTCTACGCCGACTCCTTGGTCGGCACGTACTCGAAAATCATGGATCACAGGAACTCGCTGCACTTTCCCCAGGAGGTCGACATCTCGCACTCGGCGAAGAACCTGATATGCGGCTTCCTCACCGACAGAACGAAGCGTCTCGGTCGCAACGGCGTGGACGAGATCAAGAGCCACCCGTTCTTCAAGAACGACCAGTGGACCTTCGACAACCTGAGAGAATGCGTGCCGCCGGTGGTGCCTGAACTGTCCGGGGATGACGACACCAGCAACTTCGACGACGTCGACAAGGACGATGGACCGGAGGAAAGTTTTCCGGTGCCCAAGGCATTTTCCGGTAACCACCTGCCTTTTATCGGGTTCACCTATTCGGGCGACTACCAGCTGATGGCCTCGTACGGCAAGGAGTCCGTCGATGGACTGGAGAATCATGTTAACAACGGCACGACGGACGATGTGAAGATCTCGCAGCTGGAGAATTTGCTGGACCGCGAGAGACGGCAAGTGGAGACGATGGAGTCGCGGCAGAAGGCGCTGAACACGCAGCTGGAAGCGATGACGCGCCGAGAGGCCGAGCTGCGCGACGAAATCGGCAGGGCGGACAAGGAGCTGACGTTGCTCCGGCACAACTACAAGGAGGCGCAGCGCCGAGTGGAACACGAGACCGAGACCCGCAGGAAGGCGGAGTCGCTGCTCGTGGAGCTGAAGAAGAAGTTCGACGAGGAGCAGACGAGACGGGCGCGAGACGCCAGCAACTCCCAGCAGACGTCCGAGCGCGTCACCACGTTGGAGAAGCAGCTCAAAGAGATGCAGTGCAAGCTGGAGAGAGAAACGGAAACGGCGACGCGGCTGCGGAAGCAAACCACGGAAGTGACCGTCGCACGTCAGGCCGCCGAGCAAATGGCCAGCGAGCTGCAGGTTGTGAGGGCCCAGCTGCAAGCGCAGCGCGACAACTTGCAGCAGGAGGTTGCCGCTCTCCAGGTATCGTTCAGCTTCTTTTCCAGTGATAAGAGGATAGTGAGGTGATACGAACACATCGCTTATATTAACACCGAGCGTTGTTATTCTCTCCGTAGCAAATGTATTAAACCGATCGGCAGACCGTGACCGCGACAGCCTTTAACCGAGTACGCACAGAGAAAAATTATTCTACCGGCAAGAAAAGCGATTGCTCAGTTTATATTCAGGCATGGGAGCAACTCACTTCTCTCACTTTCCTTTCGCTCACAGAAGCATCTCGTTTTCAAGAAAAAGAATCACTTCTCTCACTTTTCTTTTAATCCATTTGGCTCCTTAAAAGAAAAAAATATATCACAAGAAATCAATAACTAGCTTCTTCTAAAAACAAAGCAAAAAATTTAAAGAAGATATGAAATAACAATGACTCCGTCTATGCAATATTCATGAAACGAAGAATTGTGGTCTTATTTTTAAGCTATTTTTACCGGGTTTGTAAGAGAAACAGACAATGTCACGAATACACCTGACTGTATTTTCTTCATATTACGTAGTGGAATTGTTTTTCCACGTTTATCTATAATGTTTATTGTCCACCAAGCCACAACGAATTTTTCACAAATGAATCAAAGAAAATAGATAATGAACACAGTCAAGAACACATTTGATTGTTTCCTTTAAATTGGATTTATTATTGAATATTATTAGATATTATTTTTTTAATATTATTTTTAAGAAATTAATTAACTAGCTTTTTTCAACGGAAAAACTAGTAATTTATATAAATGTTTGTTTTTAAAATTTGTTTTCATTTGACGAAAAGATTTGGGTTACTCCAATATTCTGAAAATATATTGCAGCTTACCTAAAACAAAAATTTGGCAATTTGTACGTATCGAGTGTGTGCTTACCTCAATGAGGAAAATTTCGAAGAACATTTCTGTACCTTCACAATTGTACGTAAAAAGCCTAAAAAGATACGAAAAGTTTGCAGAAAAAATTTTATATAACTTAGATCCTCTGTTAGGTACAGTAAAGAAGAGTAGCGCTTATTTAAATTTATATCGCATTAACATTTACATGAAACCTATATGTATAAAGAATACAGAGTAGCGTGATCGCGTCAATGTTTATGTAACGTACCATTTCGAGGATTACCTCAACGTTATCGACGTTTATCAAGTTCGCCAACGGCTGTAGCATTTCCTTAATCTAAGAGAAATACAGGAAACTTATATGAATGTAAATATGAAATATATATTTGAAAATATATCTGGAAGAATAACTTAAGAATAGCTTAAATATATTCTTAAAGCAGAGCGTATCTGAAGCGATATTATTTGCTTACGGCATACATATTTTCCCTTATTTCAGGGCCAACTTTCCAAGGAACGCAGTTCCCGATCGCAAGCATCATCGCTGACGGCTGAGTTGGAGACGCGTCTCTCCGCCTTGCACCTCGAATTAGAGCGCAGTCGTGAGAAAGAAGAGAAGGCCACCCTGGACAACAGACAATTGAACGAAAGGGTTTCCGCGTTGGAGAAGGAAGCTGCTAGCTTGACCCTGGAGCTGAAAGCCGCGCAAGCCAGGTACAATCAGGAAGTTGTGGCGCATCAAGAAACGGAACGATCGCGCATACTGTCCAAGGAGGAGGCCAATCTGGAGGTTGTCAAAGGTACTTGTCGCAATTCTTGTATGGAAATAAAGACATTTGTCTTTTTGATGAAAGTACGTTTCACTTTGTTTACGCGACGCAGGACAAAAGAACGGGATCTTCGAAGGTAAAACACATACGATTAGCGAATTCTTGTCTCTTTTCCGCGGGAATGTCTAAAATCGTCGATTTTAATTTATTATCTATACAAATTGAGTTCTTGTCTGTGTGCTAATGCTGTAATGTTTGTCTCCTCGTTATCGCTGCAAATCTATAACGGCATATATCTATTTGCGTACGTATACACTCTAGTGTTCATCTGTGTAAACTTACGAAAATATATGTCGCGCTGTTACTCACGTCGACCGATTTGTCGCGAACAGCTCTGCAAGTGAAACTGAACGAGGAGAAAAGCGGTAGACAGCGCGCGGAATTGCTCGCACAGGAGAAGGAACGTCAGACGTCGATGCTCTCCGTCGACTACCGGCAGATCCAGCAACGGCTGCAGAAATTGGAGGGCGAGCACAGGCAGGAGATGGAGAAGGTCAAGGTCCTTCAGGGCCAGGTCGAGCAGGAGCAGCAGAAGCGGAACGTTCTGCAAACCGACTTGGGCCAGCAAACGTCCGAAGTGGGGAGACTTCGCGCTCGCGAGCAGCAGTTGGTCGGAGAGGTCGCTCAGCTGAGGGAGGCCAAGCGACAAATAGACGAGGAGTTGCATCACCTGAAGACTCAGAGGAACGTCGATCAGCTGCAGACGAAGGAACTGCAGGAACAGTTGGAGGCCGAAGCTTATTTCTCGGTAAGTGATCAGTGAAAGTTCAGCTTTACGTAAGGGATTTTTACTTGAAACCTGGAACGATTCAACTAAACCAGCGCTGTCATCCAGTCACTAAATGTTCCAGTCAGTAAATATTAGTTTTTTGCTTAAATGACTTTAGTTACTTTCAGAATTTGACACAAAATGTCACTTTTGGTCACTATTTTGATGCCTGAGATGTCACTCTTTGTCATCTTTTTTTTTTTGTAGAGATGCTGTACTATTTCACTTTTTTTGTTCCTATGATTGGATAGCAACGCTGTATAAAATAGATATAAATAAAGCCCAACAGAGCTGAAAGTTGCATTGCGGTGCAATCTGATGAGAATTTTGACTCTCAGGCGAGATTATAAACCCCGCCATTCTTCCCCCCAGACTCTCTACAAGACGCAGACGCAGGAGTTGCGGGAAGAGCTGGACGAGAAGGTGAGGCTGCAGCAGGAATTCGAGGAAGAGCGTAGCTCCCTGGTTCACCAGTTGCAGCTGTCCCTGGCGCGCGGTGACAGCGAGGCGCTGGCCAGGTCCATAGCCGAGGAGACCGTGGCGGACTTGGAGAAGGAAAGGACGATGAAGGAGCTAGAGTACAAAGACGGGGTCGCCAAGCACCACCAAGAGCTGAACGCGAAGGAGCAACTCATAAACAGGCTGAAGGAGAACGAGAGCGAGTTCAAGAAATCGGTCGAGCAGACCCTGAAGGACAAAGAAGAGCTGGGCAAGCGGCTGAAGGAACTGCAAGACCAGCTCGGCAAAGCGCAGTCCAACGCGGAAGAGATCGAGAAGCTCAGCAGCAAGCTGAAAACCGAGCAGGTGCTGAAGCAGCAGGCGGTCAACAAGCTGGCCGAGATCATGAACCGGAAGGATCTCTCGTCGAGCGGCAAGAACAAGAACAAGGCGTCCGCCGCGGATCTCAGGAAAAAGGAGAAAGATTGCAGGCGGCTGCAGCAGGAGCTCACCCAGGAGAGGGAGAAGTACGGACAGCTGGCAGCAAAGTGGCAGAAGGATCTGCAAGACATACAGGTGAGTCAACGTCACTAACGCCACTTTGATGTAATAAGTCAGACCGCAAACTCCTAGCTCTCTCTCTCTCTCTCTCTCTCTCTGTAAAAAGATGTCCTTGCGTAATAAACGAATCTCGCGCATGCGCGTCGCAAGGTTCCGTCTATCAGGACGGCGCGTGATCGATCGATCAAATACAACTTCTTTTCCTTTTTCTCAGGCGCAACTCGTAGAAGAGAATCAAGCGAAGCTGAGGCTGCAGATGGAACTGGACTCGAAGGACTCGGAGATCGAAACGCTGCAAATGAAGATCGCGTCGCTCAATTCGGAAACTGCCAGTGTCTCGTCGATCGAAAACGACGGGGAGGACTCCGTCCTGTCCGAGCATGGTACGATGAGGCTGGAGGGCTGGTTAAATGTGCCAAACAAGCAGAACATTAAGCGGCACGGGTGGAAGAAGCAATATGTCGTGGTTTCTTCCAAGAAGATCATCTTCTACAACAGCGAAAACGACAAGATGAACGCCGATCCAGTCCTGATATTAGACTTGAACAAAGTCTTCCACGTTAGATCTGTTACTCAGGGTGATGTTATCCGAGCCAATGCCAAAGATATACCGAGAATATTTCAGGTAGACACGTCATGTATCTTGATTTAGCGAATGTCGGGGACTCGAGCTTCCTTGCGCAATAATCAAATTTGCAATAATAAAAAAAAGAACATATGACAAAATTAAAGTAAGATAATAAGAAATTGTTAGGAAATATAAAATAATACAATTTTCTCTTATTATTCTATGAATATCTTATACATTGAGTTAAATAACAATTACAGTTGTTCGCGAAAATAATCTCGTCTAGACTTAATTTGTTACTTGTACGTTATAACGTTCTGCATTAATTCGATGTGTAGTTACTCTATGCCGGTGAGGGCGAAGCGAGGCGGCCCGGCGACGAAGGAAATACACTGCCTGGAGTGGATTTGCCACAGCTCACCGACAAACCCGGCACACAGTCGCTGAAGGGCCACGAGTTCGTGTCAATATCGTATCACATGCCGACGACTTGCGAAGTCTGCTCGAAGCAACTCTGGCATATGTTCCGGCCTTCGCCAGCCCTCGAATGCCGAAGTACGTAATAATCTATCGATATCAAGTAAATTTCGCTATTATTAACATTTACGCGTTATGCCCACATTAATACATTCTTGTATTATTATTATCATTATTATTAATATCTATTGGGTAAACAGGAAAGTTCCCTTTGGTAAAGAAAATACCAATGGTAACGCATCGCCATAAATCAGAAAGATAAAATATATGAAATATCGTATAAAGGACACAGCGTTTAGTTAATACTAATGTACAAATATAATGAAATATGCCAAATAAATGTGCAGGGTGTCGCATCAAGGTTCACAAGGAACATTTGGATAAGAAGGAAGATGCCATAGCCCCGTGCAAATTGCACTACGATCCGAACAGCGCCCGCGAGTTGCTGTTGCTCGCGGCGAATCCCGAGGATCAGAAGTACTGGGTCTCGAGGCTGTCCAGACGCGTACAGAAATGCGGCTACAAAGCAAACTCGCATGTGGACGGCACGGGACAGCGAGTCTCGCCAAGGTAGCGTAGCCGTGCTGCTCGACGCGAGCGGGGACTAAGTAGCTCTCTTATTTTGTGGCGTCGCATGATTGGGTGTAGAGAGGTTAGACCCGTTTTGATTTTTCTCTCAGTCTCCTTCTCCCCTCTCTATCTCTCTTTCTTTCTCTCTCGTTTCCAGCACTTCCCGCTTTCGATGACAGCCTCGGCTAGTTTGCGCGCGAAGTCGAAGTCGACGGGTGCCCGCGCTTTGAGCTGATTTTTCTCGTATCGCGAAGTACGTCGAGCACACGAAGTTGCAAGAGTTGCCTCTGTACGGTGGCAAAGTAGCTGTACAACTTTCTCTAACGTCAAACCAATACAAACGCAGGATAACCATCTTTGATTTTGTTCGATTAACGTTGCAGTTGATCCGCAATACTAATTATAACTTGACCCGCGTTCACTTACGTTTTCTTGTTCATAACGGTATCAAGTTGTACGCGAATATTGTGATACCTGTCGCGCACTTAGAACTTCCCTACAACTTTACGTCGACTTTATGTATATTTTTACACTGACATACTGCATGTTAAATCATTTGTGTGAGTGATACCGATCGAACAATTTAGACCCGAAGTGTGTCAGGAAACAATGTATATGAATTCGAAGAAGCATGTTTATACATAGGCACTTGGTTTGCATTTCGAAAACATAGCTTTCGAACGGCGCTTATTGTCGAAATGAGTCACAGCCTATCACACCTTTCATTTCGCATACCATTGAGCTACCTAGTGTTCTAGTGCGCTTCGCGGCTTCAACTGTGCGACGATTTCTTTCTTGTGCTTTTGACTCACTAGTTAAATATCACTCGTGATACTTGTGTAACGATGTAACTCATCTTTTTCAGGGAATCCACGAGGTCGACATTAAAGCCATACTTGACGGTGCAGCAACGATCAGCGACGTTACCAGCGAACGCTAGTATGGGCAAGTGATCTTGGAAGATCCTACCGCTGGCCAGTCGAGACTCTGGTTATGATCAGTTGCCCCGTTTGTCCCCGGTCACTGTGAAGTCAGTGAGAACGTTGAGTCGATCGTTCTGTGCGATCACAACCTCGCGATTTTCATTTCGCGCTATCCGGCGACCCAAGTAGACTGTCGATAATTTTCTAGATCGAAGAGTGAGAGAGAGAGAGAGAGAGAGAGAACAATCGAAGTAACGATCGACGTTACTTTTACGCAGCTAAGAGTAAATTCGAGTTTGAGAGAACTGCTGGAGAAAACAGGGTTTACTACACGCATGTGCCGGATGTGATGAAGCGGACGAGACGTAGAGGCACGAACAGGAAAGGAAAGGAGGAAGAGAGACAGGACGTCGTGCCCGCCGGATCCCTTTTTGCCCGCCGTAATCGTTTTCCAGGACAATAACGTGAGTCACGGAGACGCGCGCGCCGTGTTCCTCGGAATCGCCGAATCTCGTTTCGTCGTGTGCGATGGCACGGTATAAAAAAAAGAACTTTCGTACAGTGTTCGTGATATTACACATGTATGCATATATTTGCGCGACAGGCTGTAAGCGTTCTCTCGGCAGAAGAAGGATGGAATTTCCGCGATGTGATTTCTGGATATCGGGACTATCTGTATTTAACTTCGTACGCACACTTCTTACTGCCTTCGATTAACGATAAAGGAATCGTGATGGGGACTGTTTTTTAGCGTAGTAAGGCGAAAATCGCATTTTTTCGATGCTTTAAACTGGAAATTTTGGAAGCTTACACGAGGGGGGAGAGAGAGAGAGAGAGAGAGAGAGAGAGAGAGAGAGAGAGAG